CCTGTCCTCCGTCCGTCGGGGGTGAGACTGCCCTTGGCTGTACTGCCCTTGGCTGTGACGTTCTTGAGGACAGACAGGAGGAGCTGGAGTGCCTTGCGGCCGCTTCACCCCATCACGCGACCATGCTGCTTGCCCCTAAGGGAGACCCAGATGCACTTGACATCCCCACCCCGCGCTCCTACAGGGAGGCGATTTCGGGTGAGTACTCCTCTCGGTGGCAGACTGCCATGGACGCAGAGATGGCTTCCTGGAAGTCCACAGGCACCTACGTCGACGAGGTTCCCCCACCTGGGGCGAACATCGTCAGTGGCATGTGGATTTTCAGGGTGAAGCGGCCGCCGGGTTCTCCGCCTGCCTTCAAGGCACGTTACGTTGCTCGAGGCTTCAGTCAGCGTGAGGGGGTCGACTTCTTTCAGACCTTCTCCGAAGATGACCACTCCGAAGATGACCACTCTTCGGGTGTTGCTACACGTTGCAGATCAGCGTGACTACGAGCTGCACTCCCTCGAATTCTCGACAGCTTTCTTACAGGGTAGCCTTCACGAGGCCATCTGGTTGCGCCGTCCACAGGGCTTCACTGGGTCGTTTCCTGAGGGTACCCAGTGGAGCCTACGGCGACCAGTGTACGGCCTGCGTCAGGCGCCCCGCGAGTGGCACGACACACTGAGGACGACACTTGCGGCTCTTGGGTTTGCTCCTTCGACTGCTGACCCGTCGCTGTTTCTACGCACCGACACTTCTCTGCCGCCGTTCTACATCCTCGTGTACGTTGACGACTTGGTTTTTGCTACTGCTGACACTGAGGCACTGGCCCTAGTGAAGGCGGAGCTGCAGGAGAGACACACCTGCACTGACCTGGGTGAGTTGCGGAGCTATCTTGGCTTGCAGATTACCCGGGACAGAGCACGGCGCACCATCACCCTCACTCAGTCACACATGGTGCACCAGGTCCTTCAGCGCTTCCGCTTCACGTACTATTCGCCACAGCCCACTCCGCTGGCTACCGGCCACTCGCTCTCAGCTCCACCTTCGGACGAGTCCGTAGAGCCGAGTGGTCCGTACCCAGAGCTTGTGGGTTGCCTCATGTACCTGATGACGTGCACACGACCTGACCTCGCGTACCCTCTTAGCCTTCTGGCTCGCTACGTGGCACCCGGTAGACACCGAAAGGTGCACTTTGATGCTGCGAAGGGGGTACTGCGTTACTTGTGCAGCACATCGGGCATGGGGCTCGTGCTTGGAGAACGGGGTTCGGTGGTCCTCACAGGGCACTCTGACGCTTCTTGGGCCGACGACTAGGTGACTCAGCGTTCGTCACAGGGTTGCACCTTTAGTCTTGGCTCTGGTTCTGTCTCGTGGAGGTCCACTCGTTCTTCTTCTGTGCTTGGTTCCAGCTGTGAGGCCGAGATCTACGCTGGGGCCATGGCTGCACAGGAGCTCCGCTGGCTGACCTACCTGCTGACCGACTTGGGGGAGCGGCCTCGTTCTCCTCCAGTTCTGTACGTCGACAACAAGGCAATGCTTGCCTTGTGTCGCGAGCAGAGACTGGAGCACCGAACGAAGCACATTGCTCTTCGCTACTTCCTTGCGCGTGAGCTGCAGCAGCGTGGTCAGCTGCGCCTTGCTTTCGTGGCCTCTCGGGCCAACACTGCTGATGTCTTCACCAAGGCCCTTGGGTCTGGTGATCATCAGCGTTTCTGCACTGCTCTTGGGCTTGTGCCCACTCTGCCTCACCTGCTGGTTGCTTGTCTTGCTCTTGTTGTACACTGCTATATATCTTCATACCTGCATGTTTTCTCTTGCTAGGTTGTGATCAGTGTACTGCCTTGCTATTATATACCTCTGCATGTGAACTGGCCGTGTGGCCACTTGCTTGTGCTCAGAATGCGTGGTGACCTTGTGATCCACCCTGAGCTGTGTTTTCTTCTGCAGACTGGTCTTGTGACCGCTTGTTGTGTTTGCTATCCCCTTCTTTGCCTATGAGGACGTGTCAAATTACAATTGTATCTCTAGGCTACAGTAGGGTCACTCCTTAGTGAGTACAACACTTTAGGCAGGGTCCTCGCTATCAGACATTCTTGTCTGTTTGTCTGAGTTTTCAGACGATTTTTTTCCAGCTAATCTGATTTTCAAGAAATGGAATTTATTCTCATCTGATTGATTAGAAATGGTTTTTCTGTTTTATCTGACTCATCAGACATGTATTTATGATTCATCTGAAACCGAGATCTGTTAGTCTACGGGGATTTCCAGCAGAATCTGCTCTGACCTGTCAAATTGAATCTGCTATGATAGGTCGAAGGTCGAATCTGCAGTTCGAAGCACCTCGCACTGCAGTTGTGTGAGAGCTGATTGGCCTTCCCAGGGTGAATGTGACTTCTGCTGTCCCACAATCTCGATCCTGTCAACCAGAGGAGGCGCGCTTCGTCAAACTCAGTTGTCTCTGCTCACTTTTCAGGCGCGCAGTCAACAGAGCAGGAGCTCTGTCCAGTCCAGTCCGATCTCATTTCGTCAGTCACCAAAAGCACGTCATCCTAGCACGGCAACCAGAAACCAGATTTTGCAGTACACATTACTTGGTCAGACAAGGGTTTCGGAAAATGTCTGACACATCAGACGGAATTTTTCGAAATTTCTGATGCATCAGACGGGCCCGAAGGGCCCGTCTGACGCATCAGCCACCCTAAAATCCTAGCGAGGTCCCTGACTTTAGGGTTAGGTTTCCCCTACTTGTACTCACCTCTTGCCTAGTGGCGGAGACTTTGAGCCTAAAACCCTATGTACGCGTACCCCACTTCCTGTACCCTATACATTTTGGTTAGTCCGAATCAGTGTGACTCGGTACACTATACTGATGCTTCAGTGTTACTGGTACACCTAAACACAAATTCGTCAGGGTAGTCCTATACGGTACTTTAAACTGAAAAATCAGTGCAAACATAAAGAAGACACTGAAATTTCAGGGAAAACGAAAATCACAGCTACAAAATCAGCCTAATCAGCGTGTTTTACGCTGATATCTGAGGGCCTGAGCGAGTCGCGCCTGAGTCAAGCGTGAAGGTGTGTAAAGCCTCCACAGGTGCTGTAACAGTGCTACCAGGCTCACAGGCACCTAGACTAGTCTGCTGTAACAGTACATGTGGGACTGGTGTAGACAGTCTGATGTTCTACATTTTATGTAAAGACACATTTGGTTATGTGCAACACGGTTTTGATGAGTGTTGCTGGCATCTTTTGGGGTCATTCTTTTGATGAGAAATATCATCGGTGCATGCATATAGCAGAGCACAGAAGGCATCAGGGTAGATATTGAGCTATGAAATACGTATACGAGCCAATGAATGCACATACCATGCATTTCATACCCTGCATACATATACAACATAGCCATAACACTATGTACAAAGCTGTCAAAGTAAGGAGGTACTTAGGTTTAGGATGCCTAGGCTTAGGAGCCTAGGCAAGGAGGGTATCGAGTAGGTTGTGCCAAAGGATAGCGAGAATGGAGGGCTTCACTATAGGAAAAACAGAACATATAGGAGAAAGGAGGGGAGGTGCACCACCAACACAAGAAGCATATAGCTACACTAGGATCAACTGTAGGCAGGTATATAAATGTAACAAATACATTTCAACACACCCCCTAGCTGCCTACAGTGAGAACCATGTGCAACAGCACCCCCTGAAGTGGTACACGGAGGGTAGAGAGTGCGAGAGAGGAGAGGAGGAGAGGAGAGGAGGAGGAGGCGGCTGAAGCTGCTAGCACACTGGCAACTCGAGCAACTGGCTCACGGGCTACTGGGGTAACGGGCTCGTACGCCTGGAGCATCCCGCTCGTACGGCTAGAGCAACTGACCCAACGGGCGACTGGAGCAACGGGCCACTGGCGACTGGCGCTGCGGGCTTCACGACGGCCACCCCCCTCCAACCTCTCTAACCTCCCTCTCACAACGGCGTAGACGGCTGGAGGAGCAAACAAACGGAGGAGGAGGCGGCTGGAAAACGGAGAGGAGGGAAGAGACTGGAGGAGAGGAGAGGAGAGGTGGCTGGAGGAGAGGAGAGGAGTAGAGGAGAGGAGAGAGGAGGAGGATAGGAAGTGCAGCGGAAGGAGGAGGAGAAGGGGAGGCGGCTGCCTTCAAATACCCGCCACCCCCACACCCTCTTCCCCCCCCCCCCAAACGCGGCACGCACTGGAGATGCACGGGCAGCGATGAGGAGGAGTAGTGGGGAGGGGCGGGAGGGTTCAAGGGGGCTTAAGCACCCCCGTAGCCGCGGGCGCGAGCCCCGCCACCTCCCCCCCGCAATGTCCACCGTAGAAAAGAGAGGCGGCAGGTGCGGAAGCGGGGAGCGGGGTGGCGATGGCGGGGGTGCTGACGGCTGCTGCTGGCGCTGGCGCTCGCGTCCGGGGCTGGCGCATGTCGCTGGCGCTGGCGCAGGTGACCGGCGCAGGCGCTGGCGCTGACGATTGCGACAGTCGCTGGCGCTGGCGCACGGCGCTGGCGATCGCGCATGCGTCCGCGACGGTTGGAGGCGCTGGCGCTGGCGTCCGCGACCAGCGGCGGGGCGACGCGTCAGCGCGCGGGACTGGGCGACGAGCGCGTGGGGCGGGTAGCGCGTTGCGAGCAGCGCGGGGCAGGCAACGGACGAGCGCCGCGAAGGGCGCTGCGATGGTCGCCATGGCAGCAGCCATGGCGAATGAAAAATAATGAGGAGGTCCTTAGAAGGACCCAGCTCTTAATACCATGTCAAAGTAAGGAGGTACTTAGGTTTAGGATGCCTAGGCTTAGGAGCCTAGGCAAGGAGGGTATCGAGTAGGTTGTGCCAAAGGATAGCGAGAATGGAGGGCTTCACTATAGGAAAAACAGAACATATAGGAGAAAGGAGGGGAGGTGCACCACCAACACAAGAAGCATATAGCTACACTAGGATCAACTGTAGGCAGGTATATAAATGTAACAAATACATTTCAACAAAAGCCACCACCTGAACATGTCACTCATTCACACCCCGCACCCAACCACTGCTAGGTCCCCGACAGGAACAGGAGCATCAGGGCGACACTTGTGTCCCATGTAAACACCCCCCGGGCGCATTGAATACATGACAGCAGAGCGGGAAAACCCCGACTCCGCTGGGATAATAAGTAGGTGGGTGGATGCGAGGAGCAGCCATTCGGCCACTGTCTCCTGGTACCACGCAGCGGGGCCGGTTCGTGCAGTGGAGTTGGGTTCCTTGCTGATCGCCACGTGGCGGGGGATAAACTCAGTGGTTACAATCTGGAGGGGAGAGAAGGGGGTTGGATTGGGAGTCAAGACGGTGGAGGGAGGGCGGGAGGGAGGGAGAGCGGGAGAGGAGGTGTGGGGTTGGGTGGGGGGAGAGGGGTGGAGATGCGCGATGATGCGCTGTGCGAAGCGTGGGGGAGACCCCTCTGCCAGGAAGTAGCTTGGCGGAAGGCGGGTGCCTTAAGCAGAATACCTTGTGTTGAGAATCATCTCTCAAGGCTGCTGTGATTTGAGGTACGGTACCTTGTTGGGGAATCTGTTGCGCAAGGCTGCTTTGAGGTGGGCGGAGTTGCAGATGAGAAACCACGTGACCCTCAAGGAGGCCGGCACCCACCACTGCTCCAACTCCTGCTGGCCGCAGGGGGCAGGGCGCAGGGAAGAGAGAGGAAGGAGCAGGGAACAGGGAGCAGGGAGCAGGGATGAAACAACAAATAGAACAGACGAAGCAGCATCGTCATATAGCATCACGGACGCAGCAAAAACAAGCACAGCGGCACATGACATGGCATACAGCACACGGCATACGGGGTCCGAATAACAAAAACAACAAGCGCAGAAACCGGGGGAATGCCTTGGGAGAATTTCAAAAGGAAGAACCCCCTGGTTGCTCCATTTTTTAAGACGTCTCAAAAGACTCATCTCCTCTCAGCTTTCTCGTCATCTCTCCTCTGTCTCCCCTCTTGTCATCCCCTCCCTCTCCCTTTCTCTCATAATCCTCACCTGAGCACACTCAAACGCCTGCTTGTTCTCGTTATAGAGTTCCTCGACTACAGTCCCGTTGAGCACCTTGGGAACGCCATCATGCCAGTAGTCCTCCCAGACTATGCCATCTTGCACACGCACGTGTATGCCGATGCTGATGCTGTTTGGTGCATGCACCTGCTGGCTTATGCCCCTCATCAGCTGCCATACCTCCGGCTTAGGTCTGGGAACCGAAGGGTTGAAGAATTTTCGAGGTACATGGGGAGAAAGAGAGGAGGGAACCGAGGGGTGGGAAGGGAAACAAATACCGGGAAAAGGGGGGGAATGTTTTGGGAGGTGAAAGAGAGGAGGCGAGAGGACAGACAGAGCCAGCCTACCTGTTAAATTCACACTCCTGCCCGCTGTCAAACAAAACTTGGTTGATTCTTGAGAATCCTCAGCTGTTTTTTTCAGAATCCTCGGCTGGTTTTCTAAAATCCCCGGCTGGGTTATAGATTCCTGTGCTGGAACCCTAAAATCTTCAACCGCTTCTCTTCTAAACTTCCCCCTCTCCACAGCGGCAACCCGTCAATAACACAGAGCAACCCACCGGAGCAGGAATCGCATGACGCACGCGAAGGCATACGGAGGGGCCAAGCCGATGCCTCTGAACTTATCCGCCCACGCGCCCTTCCCCTTGGTCAGCAGATTGAACAGAATTCCGCGGTTCCACAACAGCCCGATGTGCGCTATCCCACTCAGCTTCCCGAACAACGCCTCGGGATCCGTAACGTTCCTATTGTACAGGCTCAGTCGCGCGTATGGCACGTCGGGGGGGTTATTCTCGTCACTTATTCGCGGCGACGGTTCTGACAAGATAATGTCGGTCGTGTCGCGCCAGTCGAAGGTCGCGGGTTCGAAGGCGAACGGTAACCATTCCTGGCGAATTAGAAACGCGCGATCGTCTAGAAGCGCCGCGACGAACGTCGACGCGAGCCCGAACACCGTATCGCCGAACCCGTCGTGCCCCGAGTCGAAGATTAGCGTGCGACAGCGGGCGGCAGAGGCAGCGGGAGCTTCGGGCGAACCAGCGGAACCAGGAGCGGCGGCGGGGTCGGCGGCTTGCGCGTCGGCCTTGCAGGCGGCGCGGACGCGGTCGTGGAGGGTCATGTAGGTCTCTCGAAGCGACCCGCACAGGTGGTCCGGAAACGCGAAGTCGAAGGGGTGCGGGATGCCCGGGCCCGTCCCCGCGAATGCCTGCCACACCGCCACGCGCGGGAAAAGGCGGATGCGCGGAACAGGTGGGCAGCCATGACAGTTGTCGAGGCGAGGATCAGATGAAAAGGGGAGGCAGTACGAAAAAGAAGAGGTTGAATTTGTATGCCACAATAGACCAGATCATCCGCGATATTGCGCATCCGAGAAATGTTTGCCCTGCGCAACATGCTTTGCATTTTATGTTCAAACATGATAGCAACAACTTCTTCCTTACCTGATGATCCGCGGCCGCCGAGGCGTCATGATGCGCGAACCCGAATAGCAATAGTAGTACTATCAGCCGCGTGTCCAGCACGACGACTGTTACCCTTGCGGGTAGGAATAATCTACAGGGCCTGTCATTGCTCAAAAACTGAAGTGTCAGAGTGAAGGGGAGACTCCCCGAAACTATCCCGCAAGTCGGGAGAGCTGCGTCGGAGGTGAACTTTGCAAAAGCTACAGCTTTGGAGAGATTTTACACGGTATTCTACGTTAGTAAACATTTCGAACTTGCTGCAGTACGGAGCCATAGATCACAAAACAGAGATCTGTACATACATGATTCGAACCATATATTGGAGGGGGAACAAAATGGCTGTATTAAATACTTTTTAAACACACTACCTGCCTGCCACCCCTCTGCCACCAATGAAATACAAATAAAATATGTAATTATATAGTCCAATATGCAATCTGTTTACACCTTACTTGCTGGTCTACTGAAGTCAGACGGATAAATCAGGTCTTTTGGCCGCGCAATCGCATCGACCCCCCACCCCCACCGCAGTTCCCCCGTGCCCCTCCCGCCTCTCTTCCTGGTACCTGACCACCCCCCGGTAGCCCCCCTCCCCCAGCAGGGTCCTGCTCCCTCATGTGTGTCCCAGGTTGACCCACCCCCCTTGGTTGCGCCATTGGAGGTCTCCTCCGACACCTCTGGCTTAGCTGAGGGGGGTGACCCAGCTGCAGATGACACAGCGGCCACTCGACGCACACCGCGCTTGGCGACCCCTCCTGGGTTTCCGCCTCGGCCGTCTTCACCGCCTCTGCGGCCAGTCGCTGTGGACTCTGGTGCTGCAGGAGGTGATGACACCGGGGGTGGGGACTCTGGGGGTGCTGGTTCTGGGGGTGATAGGTGTCCTACTGATGGTCGAGTTGAAGGTACTCCTGCTGGAGACTCTGGGAGTGGACGTCAGCGGCAGCCGAGTGGGCAGGAGACTCTCTCGCCGCGGCAGCTTTGCGAGTGGGCTGTCCGGTGGGGCAGCCCCGGGGGCGGAGCTGGAGGTGCTGGAGCTGGAGGTGCTGGAGCTGGAGGTGCTAGAGCTACTGGTGGTACAGGTATTGGAGGTGCTGTAGCTGGAGGTATTGGAGGTACTGGAGGTACTGGAGGTACTGGTGTTGGAGGCGCTGGAGCTGGAGGTACTGGAGCTGCTGGCGCTGGAGGTGCTGGATTCACTGGTGGTATAGGTACTGGAGGTGCTGGTGCTGGAGGTACTCGAGTTGGAGGCTCTGGTACTGTGGTTACTGTGCACCAGCGGCTGTTTTTCTACCCGCAGCCGCAGTCGTCACGGCCACCACCTGACTCGGCACTTCTCCAGGTGCTTAGTCTTCCGTCTTCCACAGGCCGTACTCCACCTCTACTGTGTCCTCCGCCTGACCAGTCACACCCGCAGTTACAGCCTGGCTCCCCACTGCCTGCTCCTACTCCTTATACAGAGCAGACAGACTCCCTGACAGAGTGTCGTGAGTTTGAGTATCGTCATGCCTCGCCTGTTCGCGCTGTTCGTCGTGCTCGTCATGTTCATCCTCCACCAGTCCCCAGCACGCACACTATGGCACTTCGTCCTTCCTCTGTTCCACATCGTGTTGCCCTGCTGTCTCCTCTGGCTTCTTCTCTTCCTGACATTCCTGACCCTGAGTTTGACCGTGCTCGTGCTGCAAGTCTTAGTGTCAGGCGTCTCCTGGCCACGCTTGTCACTGACCCTTCCTTCGAGTCTACTGCTGCGTCTGCCTTAGTCACTGAGCTAGTTGACTTTGCTGCTACCTATCGTCTTGACTACTTCGCGAGTCTTGTTACTGAGTCTGAGTCTGACTAACCCCCGTCCGTCGGGGGTGAGCATGCCCTTGGATGTGACGTCCTTGGGGTAGACAGTTTGAGCTCGAGTGCCTTGCGGTTGCTGTACCTCATCTCGCTTCCATGATGTTGTGCTCTGAGGGAGACCCGGATGCACTTGACATCCCTACTCCGCGCTCTTACGCAGAGGCGATCTCGGATGAGTACTTCTCTCTTGGCAAACAGCCATGGATGCAGAGATGGCTTCCTGGAAGTCCACAGGCACTTACGTCAACGAGGTTCCCCATCCTGGGGCAAACATAGTCGATGGCATGCGGATCTTCCGGGTGAAGAGGCCGTTGGGTTCTCCGCCTGCCTTCAAGGCGCGTTACGAGGCTTCAGTCAGCGAAAGTGGGTCGACTTCTTCCAGACCTGCTCTCCCTCCCCGAAGATGACCACTCTTCGGGTTACTGCACGTTGCAGCACAGCGTGACTACGCGCTCCAGTCGCTTGACTTCATCACAGCTTTCTTGCGGGGCAGCCTTCACGAGGAGATCTGGTTGCGCCGCCCACCTGGCTTCACTGGGTCGTTTCCAGAGGGTACCCAGCGGAGCCTCCGGTGGCCAGTCTACGGTCTCCGCCAGGCGCCCCGCGAGTGGCACGACACACTGAGTACGACACTTGCGGCTCTTGGGTTTGCTCCTTCGACTGCTGACCCGTCGCTGTTTCTGCGCACCGACCCTTATCTGTCGCCGTTCTACATCCTCGCGTACGTCGACGACTTGGTCTTTGCTACTGCCGACACTGAGGCACTGACCCTTGTGAAGGCGGAGCTGCAGAAGAGACACACCTGCACTGACCTTGGTGAGCTGCTCAGCTATCTTGGCTTGCAGATTACCGGGGACAGAGCACGGCGCACCATCACTGTGACCCAATCACGCTTCCACTTCCAGTTCTCCTCGCTGCTGTCCACTCCTCTGCCTACAGGCCACTCGCTCTCAGCTCCACCTTCGAACGAGTCCGTAGAGCTGAGTGGTCAGTATCCAGAGCTTGTGGGATGCCTCATGTACCTGATGACTTGCACTCGACCTGACCTCACGTACCCTCTCAGCATCCTGGTGCGCTACGTTGCGCCCGGGAGACACCGACCAGACCACTGGCGGGCTGCTAAGAGGGTGATGCGTTACTTGTACAGTACATCGGGCATGGGGCTTGTGCTTGGAGGATGGGGCTCAGTGGTACTCACAGGACACTCCGACGCCTCTTGGGCCGACGACCAGTCGACTCAGCGGTCGTCACAGGGTTACACTTACAGTCTTGGCTCTGGTTCTTGAGAAGAATGAAGAACGAGGATGCATGAACTATGAATGAGGTGAGTACATATAGAAAACCCTAATTGGGTTGTACCCCCTATGGGATACCCCACTATAGCCTACACAACAGCATAAGCTATATATGTTCTGACACACCCCCATAGGCAAAGTGGGGGAGAACAAGGGGTCACAAGACCAGTCAAGCAAAGCAGAGCAAGCTCAGGGTGGATCACAACGTCACCACACAGTCCGAGCACAACGACAAGGCCACAAGGCCAGTTCACATGCAGGAGTACACATGTATATATAGAGCTAGACAAGCAAGAGCAGGTATATATATGTGACAGTACAAGTAAGGTCAAGAGGAGAGCAAGTGAGGCAAGACAGGTACAAGACCCAGCTGAGTGCAGAAGCGCTGATGGTCACAAGGCGCAAGTGCCTTGGTGAACACATCAGCAGTGTTAGCCTGAGAGGCCACGTACGCAAGTCGCAACTGACCACGCTGCTGCAGCTCACGAGCAAGAAAGTAACGGAGAGCAATGTGCTTCGTTCTGTGCTCCAAGCGCTGCTCTCGACACAAGGCCAGCATGGCCTTGTTGTCTACGTACAGCACTGGAGGAGAAC